GTTACTACAGGTACAATCATTATCCGAATGGGCCTGCTGATATGTCAGAATTACACGTGTTTAAATTGAACACGAGGCTATAGAAACCAAATACCGCCCTCTACGGTGAAAAGCAGTATAACAAAGGATTCTAGTATTTGCAGCAGGCGATAAAAATGTACCCAGTTACTCCTCGATTATCACAATTTCTGTGGCATTTCTTGGGCGATTATTGAATTCTTTGTCCAAGTTATGTACCCGATTATGGTAATTTTGAGCAGTAGTTGTCTTTCCAATTGCGCTCTCGTAGTTTTTAATGATTTTTTTCTCGTTACGATCACGTCTTTGTTTGGGTTCGTTCTGGCACGCATTACAGCTAACGACGAGCACTGCGCATTTTTCCGAGACTAGTCTGAACTTGCCTTGCAACAGCTATCCGTATCGAAACTTCGTGATTACCAAGTAATTTTCAGCTTTTAAAAAAAAGCATGCGATGTTTAAAATAAGAGATAAATATTTATTTTGTCTTTAAAAAATTATATGATCGGTATATTGTAAAGAAGAATTTTTTAGAAAGCTGTTTTATTATTCTAACATTCATATTTTTTGACCAGATTTATTCAACCTGCATAAATCAAAATGGCGGCTGGAACGTTGTCATTCTATTTTTGCCCCAGTTTTTTTACTTTTAGAGGCACGATAATGGCACTAAACATCGCCAATCATGGATGAAAATAATGTCAAATGGAAGAATATACCGATCTGAGCCGAGGTATGCATTAGTTAATTGATTTGATTGATAAAAAAGGTCACTTTTAAGGGACATACTGATGATAATAATCATGATATGCGCTTTTTATAGAGGCAAGTGACAAATCCTGCGAGCTGATTTCGGGACACCGGGTCCCGATAGGTGCAAGGCCGTCGGGACCCGGTTTATGAAAATCCCGACATGACTCAGGCCTAATCAAAACACGGCCTAAGTTTGATTTCCCAGTATATAGGTCAAAGGTCATAGCTCATTAAATATGCGAATCTGGTTTCTGAAATTGATAACTTTAGTAATGTTTGACGGATTTTAATCAAATTTGATATGAAAGTACATGGCATCAAAACATGGCCTAAGTTTGATTTCCCAGTATGTACCCTGCGAGGGGATGCTATGCTTTGCGTTGACTTGTTTTATTTATGTCATTTAGCATTATGAATGAGGGCTCATTATTTGTATTTATTGTAATATATTCATATTGGTATTTTATTAAATGTAATTTTTTTGTTTTTTTGTTTGTATTTTAGGTTACTGAGAGTTCAAGAGTTGCAGAAAGTAAGTTGATATGCTTAGAAAGGCTGAAGTCAAGTAGTTTTTAAATTAAAGCTATGACGGAATGAAACAGATCCGCATAATTGGGAACAATTGAATGCAGAATACGAAAGCTATGGCTTTTAGAAATTGTCTATATAACTTTTTGGACACTACCAAGTTACTTTTAATTATGTCAGTAAAGGTATAGACCAGTTTTGGAAACGCCCCCCTCTCAAAAAATGAAATGGTACCTTTTATTACCAATCATGTGAAAGAATATGTTTTGACTAATACCTGATGATACAAATTTTGATACTAATTGATATATTTGGTAAATTATATCTATCCGGAGTGGATAGATATCGCGCATGTGTCGCATAGTCCCATATACATCTTTCTGTGTACAGTGCTTGTAACTTTACCATGACTGGGTCAAATTTCTCATCATTTTGATGATCCACAACCTTTCAGTACACACCAATACTTACCGTATATGCTAGATGATCAACCTTTTGTGATCGATTCCACAACGTTTCCGAAAAAGTTTGTTTAAACACCTAGTGCAAATGATAGATGTATTTTGATTTTAGTCCAATGCAATACATATAGTACAGGTGACCTTGCCTAAGTCGAACTTGGATAAGTCAAAAATTGCTATGGTTGAACGTCTACACGTAGCCCATCCTGTTTTGTCCCATTATTTTATAACCCTCCTAAATCAAAATTTGTCTAAGTCAAAGCTATTTTATGGGTCCCAAAAGATTTGAGTTAGGCCATTAATTTTTGTTTACATGTTTAGCGTCCCAATGCAATCGCATGACCAAAACTGGTCTTTACCTTTAAAGGTACTATGTCCCATTTGCAGGCCAACAAAATGAGAAGGCTACATTCGAACGGCATTTGAAAGATAATACTAATTTAGAAGTTCCCTAAAAAAAAAGGGGGGGGGGGGCTTGAAAATGTCTTTAAGTTGGAAAATAACGACTATTAGTTGTCGAATCGACTTAAGAACTATAGAGCCAGTAAGTAATGGTCTTATTTTCAGACCATTGTACCGAATGGTCGTACATTTTATGCTGCGCAAAGATTCAATCAGTTTAATTTTGGCCATTACAAGCAGAAGTGGGATATTGATGTTGACAAATGTTCATATACCCTTTACAGCTCATTTTATGTACATGTATGTTATTACCAAAGAAGAAAAAAGCCAGTGAGTCACTCAATAGTGTCTGACAGGGAAGCTAGTATAGCAAGTAAACGGGTTTCTTTGCATAATATGAATATTAGGACACTGCTAATGTTTAAATTTGACAGATAGGACATACATGACATATTCATAATTTCTGCAAAGTTCTACATAATTTGATGTTGGCTGCAAAAGGGACCGACATAGTATCTTTAAGCATTGGATGAGGGCTCACTATTTGTATTTATTTGTGTAATATATTCATATTGGTATTTCATGAAATGCAATTGTTTTTTTCTTTTCTTTTTTTCTTTCAGGTTATTGACTGTTTTCAGAGTTGCAGAGAGTTGCAGAGAGTTGCAGAGAGTAAGTTGATCTGCTTAAGAAGGCTGAAGTCAAGTAGTTTTTAAATTAAAGCTACAATGGAATGAAACAGATCTGCATAATTGGGAACATAATTGAACGCGGAATAGGAAAGCTATGGCTTAATGAAATTTCTATATAACATTTTTGACACTTCCGTAGGTATGCAACATAATTTTGTGGACAATTCATAATACTCTTCCATTGGGTGTAGCCAAAATTTGAAGAGAATCCATAGTGAATTATGTAAGGAGTTGATAAAGAAGAAAAAGTTTTTTTCATTGAACACCTAGTGCAAACGTATAGATGTATTTTGATTTTAGTCCAATGCAAAACATATAGTACAGGTGACCTTGCCTAAGTCGAACTGGGATAAGTCAAAAATTGCTATGGTTGAATGTCTACACGTAGCCCATCCTGTTTTGTCCCATTATTTTATAACCCTCCTAAATCAAAATTTGTCTAAGTCAAAGCTATTTTATGGGTCCCAAAAGATTTGAGTTAGGCCATTAATTTTTGTTTACATGTTTAGCGTCCCAATGCAATCGCATGACCAAAACTGGTCTTTACCTTTAAAGGTACTATGTCCCATTTGCAGGCCAACAAAATGAGGAGGTTACATTCCAACGGCATTTGAAAGATAATACTAATTTAGAACTTCCCTAAAAAAAAGGGGGGGGGGGGGCTTGAAAATGTCTTTAAGTTGGAAAATAACAACTATTAGTTGTCGAATCGACTTAAGAACTATAGAGCCAGTAAGTAATGGTCTTATTTTCAGACCATTGTACCGAATGGTCGTACATTTTATGCTGCGCAAAGATTCAATCAGTTTAATTTTGGCCATTACAAGCAGAAGTGGGATATTGATGTTGACAAATGTTCATATACCCTTTACAGCTCATTTTATGTACATGTATGTTATTACCAAAGAAGAAAAAAGCCAGTGAGTCACTCAATAGTGTCTGACAGTGAAGCTAGTCTAGCAAGTAAACGGGTTTCTTTGCATAATATGAATATTAGGACACTGCTAATGTTTAAATTTGACAGATAGGACATACATGACATATTCATAATTTCTGCAAAGTTCTTCAGAATTTGATGTTGGCTGCAAAAGGGACATAGTATCTTTAAGCATTGGATGAGGGCTCACTATTTGTATTTGCGTTGCCAATTTGAGGATCCCCATAGAAAGTACAACAAGTGTTTTCAAACTTTCATAACTCTCTTATTTTATAGCCGATTTTGATGAAACTTTTTTGAAATTGCTTCTCTCATATTACTCTTTCGTATGAGATGATTTTCTCCTTGGGTTTTGGTTTCCTTTTAGTTTTTGTGAGCAGATTTTTTACATTTAGGGTGTTTTATCACTATGACTATATGACTATGACTTTATTTTGGTCTCGGGATGCTCCACTGAGACTATCTTCTGGTTCCGCAAATCCCGGCTTGCCTTAATAGACCGCTGGCACCCGCGCCCGCACTAGTGGTGACGATAAATTGTGCACTGCATTTAATAGATGCACACAACACAGCGCTGTTGCAAAAGCGATAGTGGCTGGTCTTCTTACTTACGAAAATGCCAGATTACAAGTACTTAACATCTAAGCACACTTTCCAGCATCGCTCTAATTAAAGTAAGTATATTCTAGATTCTAATCTATAATCCATATTAATTCATAAACTTCATAATATGGTACAAACGAGCCCTTATCAGGGCTTTTCAATCATGTAAAAAGTGAATGGGGCTGGATCTGGCACATATCTATGTTGACTTAAAGGGGAAGTCTATTTTGAAGCAATAGTGATTTAATAATTAAGTCATTCTCATTTCAATAGATACGAGCTCCTTGATGATTTCTCAAGAATTGCCCAGACGTGTCTATTGAATTTAATTAATTTTTTTTTCTATTCCTTTCTGTCTTTTGCAGGACCGAGGGTGGTACACTCCAAAGAACTCTCCAAAGAACTCTCCAAAGAACTCTCCAAAGAACTCTCCAAAGAACTCTCCAAAGAACTCTCCAAAGAACTCTCCAAAGAACTCTCCAAAGAACTCTCCAAAGAACTCTCCAAAGAACTTGAACTTGCACTTGAACTTACACTTGAACTTACACTTGAACTTGCACTTGAACTTGCACTTGAACTTACACTTGAACTTGCACTTGAACTATCTTGAACTATCTTGAACTATCTTGAACTATCTTGAACTATCTTGAACTATTTTGAACTATCTTGAACTATTTTGAACTAAAGAACTTCCAAAGAACTTGCACTTGAACTTGTATTTGAACTAGCACTTGAACTTGAACTATCTTGAACCTTGAATCTGAAACATACATACTGAATGAAACTTGAATCTGGAAATCTTGAATCGAATCAAAACTGGAACAGAATATTTCTAAAGATTGTATTGCCATTTTTAGAAGACATAATTATTGTCAATTATAAAGAAATTATTGGTAGTTTCTAGAAGGAATTAAAAGTAAACTGAAATAAAAAGAAGAACAATAGAGGGAAAGGAATCTAACTCTAATTCCTGGAACTTGATAAGACCATACTTACAGTTGAAAGCAGTAATATTGTAAATCTTGGGAAAGAAAAAAAAGAGGTATACATTTTAAAGAGTAAAGTAGATTGGAAAAGTAGTCGTTCAAGATAAATATTGGAAGTTTGAAGGACTGTATTGCCATTTTAGAAGACATAATTATTGTCAATTACAAAGAAATTATTAGCAGTTTCTAGAAGGAATTAAAAGTAAACTGCAATAATAAAAGAAGAATAATAGAGGAACAGGAATCTAATTCTAATTCCTGGAACTTGATAAGACCATAATTACAGTTGAAAGCAGTAATATTGTAAATCTTGGGAAAGAAAAAAAGAGGTATACATTTTAAAGAGTAAAGTAGATTGGAAAGTAGTCGTTGAAGATAATATTGGAAGTTTTAAGGACTGTATTTTAGAAGACAAAATTGCTGTCAATTAGAAAAAAAATCTGGGCAGTTTCTAGAAGGAATTAAAAGCAAAGTGAAATAAAAAGAAGAACAATAGAGAAAAAGCAATCTAATTCTAATTCCTAGAACTTGATAAGACCTCTATTAGAATTCAAAACAGTAGTATTAGTAATCTTGGGAAAGTAAAAAGAGCGTATACACAGCAAAGAATAAAGAAGATTGAACAAAATAGTGTGAAGAAGGCAATATTGCAAGTTTGAAAGACTGTATTGCCATTTTAGAAGACATAATTACTGTAAATTAGAAAGAAATATTTGGCAGTTTCTAAAAGGAATTAAAAACAAACTGAAATAAAAAGAAGAACAATAGCGAGAAAGCAATTTAATTCTAATTCCTAGAACTTGATAAGACCATAATCACACAAAATTTGTGTCAATATATAGAGTCCTAGAAAAGTGAGCGTTGTTGATTGTAAAGAGAAAAGGAAAGAAATCCTTCGATATATAGTGTTCAGAATTTTAAAAATAAAAGTAAGCTTGATTGTAGAGAGAGTAAGAAAGAAGATTGGGTCAGGATAAATATATAGTTTTAGAAATATAAGTGAGGTTGATTGATTTGAGAAAGAATAAGAAAGATATTTTGATCAGGATATAAAGTGAACCTGTTTGCAGAGAGAGAGTAACAAAGAAATTAGCAATTTGGGAACTTATATAGGCCTACAATACATTTAGGCTATTAATGACCTACTCATAATTTTAATAAAAAACGCCATCTTGAGACAAAAACATTATAGCTCCTTAACACAGTACAAGCTAGTGTATATAAAGCTAGGCTATTGAAATACCATAGAGTTTAATATCAGTAAGGATTAGTTTTTCATAATTCACAATAGGAATATTTAAATAAAAGACTATTGGAGTAAGGAATATATACAGAACATTATATATCAAAGTTACAGAACCGTTAATTGTAGACTTGTAATTATTAACCAGAACTGTTGCAAGTATATAAGCAAAATTTACCATGATGGATACAATTGAATTTAAGAAAACACTTGATGAAATCATGAATATACTGACTAGTTGTGCATTGGTGACCAACCCAGATCTTAATGAATGCTGTATCTGTAACAATGAAATCAAAGAAAATGAAAGTGATGCAAGATGTGACTGTTGTAGTAAGCATTTTCATGTGACATGTATGGGATTCCCTTGTGAAGACAGACTGAGTGACCTGACATTGATCTGGATTTGTTCATTTTGTGGCAATAACAACATGGCTCATCGCATGTTTGATCAAGTATGCATCCCTTCTCATTTCAATAGATACGAACTTCTTGGTGATCATGATGAACACTGTTACTTGGATTTGAACCAATCAAGGACCCTATCAAGTACGACCAACAAAAGAAAATGTGGCAGATCAAAGAAGAGGTATGGTAAAAAGGGAAAGAAAACCAATCGATTGAGAGGAACACAACATCATATAACTGACAGGCAAACAAATGAGTCTGATAGACATAATCCTTTGGCTATGGAAAATCCATCCCAAATAGAACACGAAGAGATGCAAAATGAAAAATTTGAGGATGACTGGGTAATTGTGAAATCAAGGAAGACGAAATGGGTGGAGAAACTAAAATCAAGAAAATTGTATCCCAAATCAATAGATGATCATCAAACAGACAGGAAAATCAGAAGAAAATCAGTGAATGGCAAAGTCTTAGAACCTGGTGTAACTTACATCGGCAAAGCAATGAAGACATTCTATGAAAGCCATAGCAGGAAAAAAAAGGAAGACCGAAAGAAAGTTGATTGTAAAGAAAAGAAGGTGAAATCCGAGAAAAAAGATATCAGTGTTCAATCTTACACAGAAACTCTTTTAGGTTTATATGCCTACAGTGTGCAGTCCCCACATGCAATGAAGTTGTATAATGACATGTGTGTGCAAAGTGAAACGGCACAAACACGATCCTGGGCAGACATAGCAAGCAATTTGCCAACTCAATCTAGAACAGATACATGTGTTGATATCGATGTATGTACTTGTAATCTTTTTGAACAGATCAAGGATTTGCGAAAGTACAGAGTTCATGCTGGTGGCAAGAAAAAAGAAGCAAAGAACAAGAAAGGTCGAGCAAGGAACAAGAAAGGTCAGTCTTCCAAAGCCGGGAAAAAAGGCACTGATGGAAATCACTCTTCTGATAAATCAGAGATTAGATTTGACAAAGATGAAGGAATAGAATTAGCAGTAAAGAATGAGAAGCTGGATACAAAGAAATCTATGAATGCAAGTGACCAAGGACTTGATCCAAATACATGTAAAAATGATGAACACTCAGACCAGCATATTTGCAATATGAAAGACAACAAAGGTTCAGATGGAGTTGTGCAGGACGATTCAAAGAATAATCTGTTGAAATCAAATTTTGATGAAAATGGGGAAATTGAAACGGACGATGATAGTGGCAGTGATGTTCATATACCAGTGAAACGTTCGTGTGCAAGAAATTGTATAGAATCTGATAGTGATACAGACACAAGTCCTGGATGTGATTTATTCGATAGAAGTGTTTTACCACAACGCAATATGCCTTTGAATGTTTGTGATAGACCAAAAGATATGCCCATAAATGAACCAGTAGACAATGTCTGTGAATCGGTATTGGAAAATGATGATATGATGAAAAATGATTTTTCAGATGTTTCAGATGGTGTACAAGAAGATGCAGTGTATGACAATGACCTGAAGAATAGAAGCTTTGATACAGTAAAAGATGGTACAGACAATGATACTGATATGTCATTTAATGATCATGCTCATTCAAGGAATCCTTTAGAATCTTCTTCAGATTCAAATATCAAAGATGAAGACATTGAAAAGGCAATAGATGCTAATATGTACACATGTACTGATGAAACAGAAACAGAAGTTGAATTTGTAGCAGATCTTGGATTACGTGATAGACCAGATAAAGATTTCAAATTTGTACCCCTCCAGAATAATGACAAACAGAACATTTGTTCAAAACTGAATATCAGATATATAGGCAAAGGCTGTGATTCAAGGTTAGATAGAAATAGCTCTATTGGAGTTCCTTTACAGAGTAAACAAATTACTGGTGATGGCAATTGTTTCTTTCGTGCAATTTCCTATGTAATTTCTGGAACTGAGCGTAATCATGCAATTTTAAGAAATGCCACTGTGAAACATTTATTGCAAACCAAGGACATGTTTAGTAATACATTGAGGCAAGAATATAGAACAGTCAGAGAATATGTTTTGAAACGTAGAATAAAGGAAGACGGAACGTGGGCTACAGACACTGAAATTAGCGCTTTAGCAAATTTAATCGATACTGATATTTATTCATACAATGACCAAGTACCATGTTGGCAATTGTACTCTGCAAAGAAACCTGGAAGAATCAATATTGTTACATCTGATAAGGGAATTTATATACTGTACACAGGAAATGTTCATTTTAATGTTGTTGAATCTGTAGATTTTGTCAATTTCAATTCATTAGAACAGACAAGAACAACAAAGAGAACTTTGCCATGTCCATCAATTCAGGCTGATGTTAAAGTAAAGCATGTGTTCAAGAAGTGTAGATCCAAGTGTCAGATAGAGGAAGAAATTGATGAAGTAGTGGATAAGTCTCCTGAAACATTTCAAAACCATGTTGATCCAAAGGGAAAAAAACGTAGGCTCACGTTGGAAACTGGTACGATAAATCACGATGAGAGAAAAGGTACTGCAAATCTTTTTGACATGACATATGAACAGTGTGCAAGTAATCAGTCTAAATCAGTCGTTCACAACGAACGTAACACCAAGGACGAAACCCTTGAAAGTGATCACAAAGACAAATGCACGAGAGTTGATACACAAATAACGCTGGTTGCCCAAGGGACATTCAATCAAGGGGATACAAGATTTGGTGACTTAAGTGGAAAGCAGTGTGTTACCAATTCACTTTCTGCACTGTTGTATAGCAAGGTAAAAAATGCCAATGATTGGAAAAGTACAGATCTAGACAGGATTTTGAATAACGGTAATGAATTATATTGTTACATACGGCGATCCACTTCACTCGACAACCAATACTTATTGATATCTGATCTATTTGAATATTTGGATGCGTACAATGAATTGTTTAACATAGTATGCCGTGAACCAGTCACTGGATTGTTAGATGGAGATGAATTGATATTGGCCCAGTCTCTTTCGATGACATTGAAGCAAGCACTCGAAAAAGAACTCTGTACTGATTCTGATGCATGTTTTGTGACATTTGCTAGAAGTACTTTCATTGTATTATCTGGTCAAGATGGTTTTTTTATATTTGATTCACATTCCAGAAGCAGTCGAGGTTTCCTGATTTGTAACGGACACAGTGTTGTACTTCGTACTCAAAGCTGGCAAGGTGTGTACAAGCATTGCATGAGGTTAGCAAAATCAATGGGATGCCCCCTGCACACCGAATATGAAGTAACTAGTGTATGTGCTAAAGCAACTTCCGGTAAGAATGAAACCTTGAAAGGCTATCCACAGTTACAGGATTTTGTTTGTAATCCAATTCCTTCGTCAAATACACACAGTGAAAGTCAGTCTGGAAGCTCTGGATGTTCCATACATTGTGAAAGCTTTGATGAAGTTCAAATATTGGATGAGAGTGTTTCCCCACAAAAGATGATTGATAACCCAAATGTATTTCTCTTCCCTGAAAAAGCAAATGAAACGATCAGTCATGATGTACATTATAACGGTCAGGAATTAAAACTGAAGAGTGTGACAATTACCTTAACGAAACTAAAAGAACCACCGCTGAATAAAAGTTGTCTTTTGAAAAGAAATGACTCTATCAAGACAGAATATGTAAATGAACAAAATGGAGATTTCAAAAATTGTACTAAATGCGGGAATGACTCTGATAGATTAAATTTAGTGAACAAAGTTCAGAATTCCAACTCTATCTTAAGCAGAAAACGAAAATTGAGTAACATTGAAAATGATGCAAAAGTCGATGTTGACCTTGGTAATGAAGTTCGAAAAACCAAATTGGTAAAAATGAATGAGAACGACAGCTTAAGAATTGATGCAAGCGAATGTGCTGATAGTAATGATGAATTAATAATAATTGGAGAAGTTCATGTTGGAAATGTAGACCATGGAAAGAAAAAACGTAAACACAGACAAAGTTCTAATCAAAGAAGGGAGCGCAGTAGACAGCTTATGAGAGAAAAACGAGCCTTGACCAAAGATGAAATAATTAAGAAAAAGGAAAAGTGTCTTCACAATGCGCAAATGAGGAAAATTAAATCGAAGAATAAATATCAAAATGATTTAACCTATAACATGGAAAAAATAAATGAAGTAAAACAAAGACAAAAAGAGAATTACAACACTAATTTATCACACAAAATAAAGCAAGGAGCTTATGTGAAACAAAGGCAAAAAGAAATGTATAAAGAGGATTCAAATTTCAGGAACATACAGCTAAATATTATGAAAACCAAATATCATTCTGATTTATGTTATAAAAAGAAAATTTTGTATAGAAATAAACAAAAATATTTGAGAAATGAAGGATTTAAAGAAAATGTTAAAACAGCTATGAGGACTAAAATGAAAAATAAATATTGGAACGATGAACTATTTAAACGAATGCACAAGAGTAGAATAAGAAGTAAATACCAGCATGATGAACTATTTAAACGAATGCACAAGAGTAGAATAAGAAGTAAATACCAGCATGATGAACTATTTAAACGAATGCACAAGAGTAGAATAAGAAGTAAATACCAGCATGATGAACTATTTAAACGAATTCACAAAAGCAAATTAAGAAGTAAATATTTGAACGATGAAAATTTTAAGGAAAAACAACAAGATATCATGAAAAAACAAATGAAGAAATTATATCACAACGATCAACAATTTAAACATACAAAAAAGGCAAATATGAAAACATTGTCCAAAATTAGATATAAAGGCAACGAATTTAAGGAAAAGAAATTGATGAGCTTAAAAATGAAATATAAAAGAATTGAAAAATATAGGCAAAATGTAATAAAACAAAATCGAAAAAGGTCTGTACTTCGAACGGTAAAATTGTCCGAGTTTGATATTGTACTTGAAGAATTTAGAAAGATAATTTCTCATGGCCCAGAATATGTGTGCTGTGTATGCTTAAAACTTCTCTTTGAGAACCAGGTATTGAAATGTAAAAAGAGTAATTATAAAATTCACACGTGCATAAGTGAAGAATATTTGCATGTTTGCAATTCAGAATGCCGGTCAAAATGTTTAATAGGCCAGTCAGCCAGATCGACACTTTGGATATGCTTTACCTGTCATAGAAAATTGCAAGCTGGAAAAGTACCTGCAGAAGCAAACATGAACAATTTACAACTACATGAAGTTCCAGAAGAACTTGCCAATCTGAACAATTTAGAACAGCATTTGATTGCATTGAATATCCCTTTCATGAAGTTAATGGCCTTGCCTAAAGGTGGTCAAAATGGAGTCCATGGCCCAGTCGTGTGCGTGCCTTCAAACACTTATGAAACAGTAGATATGTTGCCAAGACCACAGACTGAAGATCAATTGATCCGTGTTAAACTCAAACGAAAATTGTCGTACAAAAGCTATTATGAGTACAAATTTGTAGATAAATCTAACTTGCTCAATGCTCTGCAGTATTTAAAAGCAAATAATAAGTGGTATTTTGATGTTGCAGTAAATGATAAATGGGAAAACTCACTTGAACGAAATGAAAAAGATAATGAAAAGGAAGAAGCAGTGGAAATTGGTGGTAAAGCTCGTTTGGCAAAATATTGGAAGGAAATGGAAGAACAAATTGATTACATTTTGTCCAAAGACAAAAATGCTAATGAAAACATGCAAGACAACAGTAAACTACAACAAAAAATAGATGACAACAACACTGAAGACGATATGGAAGAACGCTTACGCGGTATTCAGTTAGACTCATGTCTCCAGCCGGTAGATATTGGACAGGAAATATTAGATCAGTATTTTGAAGACATAATATGTTGTGCTCCTTGTGAAGGAAGAAGCCCTGTATCAATTCTACAAGATGAAAGCAATGAGGCCAAATGTTTCCCAGTGTTATTTCCTAAAGGTCAACCAACATTCCATGATAGAAGAGATGAAAAAATAACATTAGGACGTTATCTGCATAACCGACTGATGCACGTGGACAATAGATTTGCTCAGAATACAGATTACATCTTTTATGCACAATATATTTATGAAATTCAACAGGTTATATCACAAGTTTCTATCGCTTTAAGGCAAAGTCCAAACAAAAAAGATGATTCGTCTTCAATAACTGCCTCAGATTTGAAAGATGCAGAGAAAGTTAAAAAAATACTAAAATCAGACAAGGGCTATAAATTTTTAAAGCAAATTCGTGGAACACCTCCATTCTGGCAAAAGACACAAAAAGATGTTCTCGCAATGGTACGACAGCTTGGAAAGCCGACATGGTTTGCTTCTTTCTCATCTGCCGATATGAGATGGCCAGAATTAATGAATACATTGCTTAGACAAAAAGGAGACACCAGGGAATCGAGTGAATTAGACTATACAGAAAAATGTAATCTTTTAAGATCAAATCCAGTAACAGTTGCCAGAATGTTTGATAAAAGATTTCACACTTTTATGAAGAGAGTTATTTTATCTCCCGCTGCACCGATTGGTAAAGTAGTTGATTCATTTTGGAGAGTAGAGTATCAAGCCCGTGGTTCCCCTCACATTCATGCCTTGTTCTGGGTTGAAAATGCTCCACAGTTGGGTATCGATAAAGATGATGATGTCGTACAATTTGTAGATAAATACATTTCTTGCCAGAAACCGGATGAAAAGGAAGATCGAGAACTACATGAAATAGTAAGCAAGGTCCAACAACACAGTAAGAAACATTCTAAATCTTGCACAAAAACGGGAAAAGCGTGTAGATTTAATTTCCCAAGACCACCATCTGAAAAAACATTCATTGTAACACCTGTTGAAGAGATTCCAGCTAAAGATTGTGGGAAAGTGCAAAATAAGGGAAAGGACAATGATCAAATTAAAGCTTCTACAAAGATTAAAGATGATGCAGAGAAATTGTTGAAGTCAGTTAAAGATGCATTATCCAATGGAATCGAGTACAACAGTGTAAACCATCTCTTTGAAAAGCTTGGCATTACACAAAATCAATTTGAGAATGCACATAATGAATTAGCATCACAACAAAGTATAATCATCAAAAGAGAAATACAAGATGTATGGGTGAATCAGTTTAATCCAAGTCTACTAAGAAGCTGGAATGCCAACATGGATTTGCAGTTTGTAACAAATGTATTTGCATGCGTGGCTTATATTGTATCCTACATGTCAAAAGCTGAACGAGAAATCGGAATGCTATTGAGTCATACACTATCAGAAATGAAAGAGGGAAATGAGAACGCAAAGGAAAGCATGAAAAAACTTGGCCAGGTGTACATGCAAAATCGTGAAGTGTCTGCTCAAGAAAGCGTCTATCGTGTTTGCAGTCTCAGATTGAAAGAATCTTCTAGGAAAGTGGAATTCATTCCTGTTGGACCCGACCCTGTCAGAATGAGTTTACCATTAAGCGTTATAAAGAGCAGACCAGATAACGATAATGATGATGATGAGAATGTTTGGATGCCTAGCAAGCTCGACAGATACAAAGCTCGACCTAAAAACGCAGAATTCAGTGATATGTGTCTTGCAACGTTTTGTTCTCAGTATAGAATCTTAACTGCATCCCAAACGCCAAGTACAAGAAGTAAAAATGTCTTTAAATTAGATAACGATCTGGGATATATTCAGAAGCGTACTCGTACGGGAGATGCAGTTGTAAGATATCCCCGATTCTCACCCATCATCTCACCCGAAAAATATTATTTGAGCATTTTGCAACTCTTTCTGCCATATTTTGAAGATGGACAATTAAAGCCCCCAACATTTGAAACACATGAAGAGTTCTACGAGACAGGTTCTGTGAAAATATGTGGACGTGAATTGGAGAAAGTCTGGTCAATTGTCTGTACTAACCGAAAGAAGTTTGAAATGAATGCCGATGCAATTGATCATGCACAGGAGCATCTTGACAAATTTGGTCCACACGAAGATGCATGGGGTCTTTTATGTCCGGAAAAGGAAGTAGAGCGACTTGAACATCCCAAAGAAAATGTAGATGTCGAAGATTGTGATGGAGATCTTGATATCCCAGATTTAAAGAATGAACCGAAAAAAGATGACTATAGCATTGAACTACGTTCAGTAAAAATTTCCAAACAAGATGGACATTCTTTGATGAGGTCTTTGAATGAGAAGCAACAGAGTGTTTTTTACAAAATACGACAGTGGTGTTTAGATAGAGTAAATGGAAAATCGGTCGAACCGTTTCATATGTTTCTAACTGGAGGTGCTGGTACTGGAAAGAGTCATTTGATCAAATGTCTTTACTATGAAGCAACACGTATACTAGCCCGAATGTTGCCACATCCTGATGATGTCTCAGTATTGAAAATGGCTCCAACCGGAGTAGCTGCATACAATATCAATGGCCATACTATACATAGTATTCTTTCTATTCCAATCAATGCACAAAGACTGTATCAACCTCTGAGTGATGAGAAAATAAGTGTCCTTCGAAATAAGCTGGCTGAATTGCAAATTTTAATCATAGATGAAGTATCAATGGTAAATCAAAAGTTGATGTCTTACATTCACGGCCGCCTACGACAAATAAAACAATCACGAGATCAAACTGCTTTTGCTGGTGTTTCAGTTATTGCTGTGGGAGACATGTATCAGTTACCTCCAGTCTTAGGAACTCCTTTATATAAAGACACACTCAATGGTGCATTGTGGAATGCTAATTTCAAGAAAGTAGAACTTGAAGACATTATGAGACAAAAAGACGATACCCAATTTGCTTTTCTCTTAAATAGATTACGTGTAAAACAAGGGGAAGAGATTCTCTGTGATGAAGACCTAGCAATGCTCAAGTCCTGTGAGACTGGTGAAGAATGTGAAAATGCTCTGCATATCTATGCATGTAACAATGAAGTAGATGCTTGGAACAAGAAATTATTGCATAAAAAATGTGGAGATGTGATATGCGTAAAAGCACAAGACATGGACAAAGATGTTAAAAAAGGAAATCAAATACGGGAAAAACCTTATACAAAGATGAAAACCCAGTTGCCTCCTTATCTGTGGATTGCAGTTAATGCTAGAGTGATGTTGCTCAAAAACATTGATGTTAGTAAAGGCCTGACAAATGGATGTTTCGGAAATGTAACAGAAATAATAACGGATCATACAAATTTGAATCCAGTTTGCATCAAAGTTAATTTTGAGAAGGCCGATATTGGTATTCATTCAATCGAAATGTCTCAAGAATCCATTGGTAAGAAATATGTGAGAAAACAATTTCCACTTAAGCTTGCTTATGCTTGCACAATTCATAAAGTACAAGGTTCGACATTAGACAAAGCTGTTGTATCATTAAAAAATGTATTTCAATCTGGACAGGCATATGTTGGGCTTAGTCGCGTTACTTCGTTATCTGGACTTGTGATAGAACATTTCGATCCTAAACGTATATATTGTAATCCAGAAATTAAAGAACGCATTGAGATTATGAAGCCGTTTATTGAGAATGAAACTTCCGAAGATATTCACGATTATAACTTTTCTTTGGTAATGCAAAATGTACAAGGATTAAAACAGCATTTTACTGATTTCAAATCCCAGTGCCAATTTGTGAATGTAGATTGTATTTGCTTGACCGAAACATGGATTAATGATGATGATCTCTGTGACGTTGTTTTAGATAACTTTCGATTTTATCATCAGCCACGACATCTGTCATACTGTAATTCTGGAGTTGGAAATGTACTCAAAGAACAATCGCACGGAGGTGTTGCAATGTATATCAAGAATACATATTCAAGTAGATTAGACATATCTGTCGACAACTTAGAGTTTATTGCAATTCTTGTCACCAAACCAGTTTCTGTTGTGATTTCAGTTGTTTATCGACCTCCATCATATAGTATCAAATCATTCTGTGAATCATTAGACAATTTGCTAGATGTATTACACAAAACAAGCATTAGGTGTATTGTGATGGGAGATTTTAATGAGGATTTGTTTAAAGGTTCTTTACAGGTAAACAAGCTAATGTGTAATAAAGGTTACAAACAGCATGTTGTTAATGCTACTACTGAGAAGGGAACATTGATAGATCATGTGTACAGCAAGGGACTAGATTTATTGGAAACAGAGGTCATCCCTACATATTATAGTTACCATGAAGCTGTTAAGATTGCTTTTTAATATTAGTAGTAAAATGAGAAGAATAAACAAGTAAATTTCTTAATTTTGTTGATAATTAAACATTTTCATTTATCATGTCTTCATTCTTGCAAAAACGAATATGAATATTATTCCTTCTTAAAAGGGTTGTCAATATTTTGTTGGCTTACCGTACACTTATCAATGATATCATCTGCCATGGACATCACATTGAAAGCAGGTTGTAAAGTTGGTAAAAACCCTTTTCTTAAGGTGATGAGTTAAAGGATTTATGTGTTGTCACTCCTTGCCTTTCAAACCTTAGTATCTTTAAACATCACTCACATCATGACATGTACATGTATTTCGAACTTATAGATCATATTTGAGAAATCTAAAACAATGGTGCACATTTAGAATACTGGATTGATAGGTGGATGGATAACAAGATCATACATCCATGCTTTTTCTTCCCAGATTAAGGATTGTCGACCTGATCCGTATATTGAAGTTGGAACATTCCATGAACCTTGCAAAGTGCTCATTTTTTGACTGGGTTGGAGGAGGAGACAAGGTACGTCACGGTGGAAACCATCACTCTGAAGAAGACACTCAAATCAGAGATCAAGCTTGAACGTGACAATGAGACATGCAAGTATTTAAGTAAAGAAGAGGTTGATATCATATTATATATGGAATATCAAAATGGGAAGGTTAATGATAATGAAAGAATACTAATATCGGGACCCAATGCTGGAATGTTATTCGCTGAAAGATGATTGTTTGGTAGTGATAATGCGTTTTAGTTGAGTAGGTTATTCACTATGATGTAAGTTGTTTGAGTTAATGAAAATTGGAGGGTTATACAGAGATGCCAACCAGTACGATTAAATCATATTTAGTATGATAATAAGAGTGAAATACGATCTTAAAATACAATTTTTCATCTTTTTTCCCCCAAAAAAACAAACACGGAATCGCATAGAAACATGTACGAGTAAACCCCTGCAACCCCAACAAAAACTGTGCTTTACAATTTTCTCATTAAATTTTAATGAAAGAGCAAACATATTTCTGAAATTCTACTGGCCCTGGGCTATTTTGAGCAACCCCTGACTGCAGGGGGGGGGGGGGGGGGGGGGGCTGTCGATATTTGAAAATGCAAAGGTTAATTTGCATAAATTTTGAATATGCAAATTTCATTTTATTTTCTTTAATATGTATTATATTGTTTTTTATTTCTTATTTTTTCTAGAGGGCTTAAAGCCAGAACTGTCTATGTCCATTTTTTGTGAAATTCAGTTATGTCCACCAAAGAACTGTATATTCATTTCACTTTGTGTCTATTCAGAACTGTCTATTCCCATGTGTCCATTAGCCATTTTACTTTGATGTTCAGACTGTTTCAAGTACATTCATCAAGAATTGCGCAATACTTGCAGTTTTCTACTCATTAAGCAGATAAGATTCCCTATGCAGCTATTTCACTGATTGTGGCCAAGCAACACCATACCATTGCCCGGAAAAAACGTTATGATAAATAAAAAAGACCAATGTGCAACATGTACGAAGTATGACCAGTTGTCTGGAGATCAGAAGGAGAATTTCACGGAAACCCATCTCGTACAAAAAACAGAGGCTCAAGATGCCAAAGCAGTTCCTTGCATCGTGTAAGACAGAAAATCGTTGTGAATAAGATGGAGTGCAAAAGAGGACATGCTTACAACAAGAAATATGCTGATAAATTTGACTTCGGTGCATCATCAGGAAAGAGCAAACATCATGCAACTTGCAAGGAATGTCGCCGAGATTTGTCAATTTTGCATGGCGGTTGTAATGACATTGTTGTTCATTGCAAATCAAAGCAACACATCACTGCTTTCAAGTCTGAATCGTCAGCACGAGAAATAACATCATGGATGTCAACCTCCAAGGATTTTAATATAACTAGAGCTGAGTGCTTATTTACATCATTTTATTTGGAGCACAATATTCTTCTATCAGCTGCAAGTCACATGGGACCATTGTTGAAAAAAGCCTTTCCTAATTCTGAGGAGGTTATGAAGTTTACCAGTGCAAGGACCAAACATCTTGTCTTGTGCGTGAAATGGCCAAAGATAAACAAGGACAGATCGTTTCAGCCATGAAAGCACGGCCAATTGCAATATCAACTGATGGGAGTAATGTCAGCGACAGTAAACCATACCAAATTGTGGCATGCCTCGGGAAGTGTCAGTGCTTGGTTGCCCCAATCATCTAATTGATTCTGCTGCCAAAGATGCGTCATCTGCATTACCATATTCAATTGACTCGCTCCTTATTGATGTGTTCTACTATCTGGAAGCCAGCGTGAACAGGAAATTGAATCTCAAGAAGTTCCAGATGCTCATTGGGAACGAAGTGCAGGCAGTTCTGAAACATGCTTGTACGAGATGGCTGAGCTTGGGCCAATGCTTGCCAAGATTTATCCAACAATGGCAAGCTCTAGTCCTCTTTTTTGAAGGAGAAGTGTCAGCCGAGCAGAAGACGCCTACTCAACAGACAAAGCAGAAGAAGCCTACTCAACAGACCAAGGCTACCAAGAATAGTGTCCAGACTTCACTTGTTCCAAAGAAGCCAACTCCAGCTGTGAAAAATGAACCTGCTCAGGGATCTCAACTGAAGGTAAGGCTAGAAAATGTATTACTACAAGGCATGTACTCCTTTTTATTCCATTTAAATATGGCCATCATTAAAATTACCAGATTTGAATAGATTAACCCTAGCAGTAGAGAGCTTTCTAAATGTTTGAATTAATCAGCTTTTACTCCTCAAATTGGCAACAGTTATTATCATTTTACACTCTAAAATAGTTTGAAAAAAATACGAAAATGGATATTACGTGAACCAAAATGGTAATTGCAAAATTTAATTTAATGTGTAATTAAATTTCATGCTTATAAATAAGTCATCAATAGTGTTGCAGGCATCGCATTAATTTTTTTAAGCTTGTCTTGTCCTGCAGAAAAAGCCTGCTCACCAAACCAAGATGACTGCACAACTCCAAGCATTCTGCATTCCCAAGAAGGTGTCTGCAGATCCACCACATGTGAGCAAACCTGCCAAGTCTCAGACCCAAGTGAGTACAAAAATTGATCATAATTCGTCGCTGTTTTCACGAAGTGACGGTAGTGAAATAAAATTGCATACAGTTTGCGTGACGATTTTCCTCACTACCGTCACTTCGTGAAAATAGGGACGATATATACAGGGTGACAGTTAAATATGTTCCTTTACATCATTTATTTTTTCTTCTTATTTTTAGGTCATTTACTTGTAAGCTCTTTCTCTTCCAATCATCTTCACTCTGCTGTTCAGTTTACAGATATAAAAATGTATTCAATAATGCTAGTCATCTGCCAAGATTTCAAATGTAGTGTATCTTTTTAATTGTAAACTGTGTCAGTAGTCTTGTTTCTTTCTCATATGGTAATCAATAATTTCTCTACCTCCCAGGTTCAACTTCAAACACCACAGCCACAACACAGTAGACCTGCATCTTCAAGCTCTACTACTCGGGAAAAACGACAAATGAGGAAGCTTCGGATACACCTAGAAAAAAGCAGAAGACTGGGAAAGTTGTTGGCAAGGCAACAGGCTCAACAGTGCTCAAGACTGGAACTTCCAGTCATCCCAGTATGATTTCTAGTAAAATGACTGGAAATGAAAAAACAAGATGTGGAGGAAAAAAAGAAACAAGACAGACAGTAAGAGATAAAACAAGACAGGAAAGAATTCTGAATTCATTGCACTCAAACCCAATATCAGCCACAGCATCATTGCATTTCACAAGAAAAATGTCATCTTTCAGACGAGAAGTCCTCTGATACAAAAGCTAAAAGGAATACTAGAAAGTCTACTGCGTGACTTGTACAGCCAATTTGTAGCTCCACAAGCAATCATTGCAGCCACAGACTTGACCCTTCTGGACTACAAGAACAAGGAGAATCTTTGTGAAGAATCTGAAATGGTCATAAAAAGCGCAACAAGAGAAATTGTGAACACTTTAGATGAGTCTGATTGCCATAAGTTCTATGCAGCAGTGCATTCATATTACACCAAGGCATGTGACTACATTGTAAGTAAGTTTCTATTGAAGTCTGATGTTCTCATCCATGTGCAAGTGGCTGACATTGCATATCAGAAGGATGCCAAATTCACTTCTCTAAAGTTCTTCATCAACAAGTTCCCCTGCATGTTGCTTCAGGAAGAAGAAGAAGACAAGCACAGTGCCCTAGATGCTCTGGAGAACCAGTTCCTTATCTATCAAATTGCTCAGCTTCCGGACTTAGTGCAAAATGAGGAATCTACTGACAAGCAGTGGACAAGTATGATGACAGAAAAGAATGTTTCTGGTGAACTGTGCTATGACAGACTTGCAAAAGGGATTCTAACCATACCCCATACCAATGCTGAATGTGAAAGGGTCTTCAGTCAGGTGCGAAAGAACAAAACTGACTTCAGAGGGTCCATGAGCAACGAAACTCTAAAAAGTGTCCTTATTACTAAGGCTCGCCAAACAACACCCTGCTACATGAGGGAATTTGACTCTGATTTTCCAAAGAAAGCTCGTGATGTGCGCTACGCGCACATGATATTCAGTTTTACTTAAATGTTTACTAATTGAAAATTCCAAAGTGTTGGCAGCTATGCCAGGCCAAGGTAGTTGCTGGAAAGAGGACTTTTGTCTCTGCTTCTTTTGATTTGCAAAGTGAATGTCGCTGCAACATTACTCTATGCCATCCAGAACACACATCTCAAAGTCATCGCACACAATTTTCTGGAGAGTGGGCATTCCCACGTGGAATGCAATAGCATGCATTCTGCTATTGAAACAGAAAAAAAGAACATCAATGTCTTCACAATGCATGACTGGGTAAAACATTTTCCACAAATTAAGACGTCGGCTTCCATACAAGGTCATAAACATGTGCCATGGAGACTTTTATGATCTGAAAAATCTCTCACAGCAGATCATGAATAACAAACGCCTAGACGAAGATAGACACGTCTTCAACTGGCTACATGTAAAGAGCTTCCAATACAGGAAGGAAGAGCAAAGCACCATCTGCTACCATCTATAACTACTTGTATGACTACAAGAAGATAGATCATCAGTTCCACGTAATCTGGACCTTGTCTACCAAGAGAAGCATTTAAAAAAGCCTAAACCTTAAGAAGAAGGATCTCATCAACTTGTGCAATAGCCTAGCCATTCCTGAAGAGTTCCATGGATGGTATTTGGCACTCCCATTTTTTAAGTTTCTGACATTGACAGGGTCAAAAGGTCATGGCTTCCATGTATGATGTTTGACCAAGTATTATTTATAAGTTAATGGCATTAAACATAACTACTACACTTTGTCAGATTTTATGCTTGCAATCAAACTTTTAAATGCATTTTTACTCAAATGGCATATTTGGACATAGACAGTTGTGGTTTTAAGTCCTCGATCTATTATTTTATTTCTAATGTATTCTTTTGTTCTGGAATACATCAAGTTACTTTGAGAAACGTATCAAAGCAATTTGATATCAATTCATATCTCCCACTTATACATCTATTTACCTGTATTCACATTTCTGCTTGTACATGTATATATGCAATTGTAGCACTTTTTGATGATATGCGCATACTAATTGCTATGTAACACCTGACAGGTGTATCCAAATTCGATGAAAATGGTATCAAAATGTGCATAAGACTTGAGGAAAAGAATCGAAGAACAACAATGTAAAATTCCAAGCGGTTGCGGCGCTATCTCCAAAAATGCGGGGTGGGGGAGGGGGGGGGGGGCTCTTACGCCACCCCCCCCCCAAGTACAGTAAGGAGTAAATGACGTTAGCCATATAATTAAAATATGCATTTTTTAAGATGCTTACATATACATGTAAAGTGTTAAAGGGCAAGTTCACCCGAAAATAAGTTGATCTTCATACATGTAAAGTGTTAAAGGAGAAGTCCACCCCAAAAATAAGTTGGTCTTCATAAAAGCAGATAAATGAGAGAAACAAATCAATGAAATTTTGAGGAAAATCAAAAACAAATGAGAAAGTTATAAATTGTTGGAGTTGTAATCAGTGAAGCACAAATTGCAAACTGTGTGACATCACATGCGAGCTCATATCTCATTTGCTTTGTACAAAAAATATTTTGAAAAATTAATTTCCTCAGACGTTGATTAAATGAATACGATAACATTAGCATAAAACCAGTGATCAGTAATAACATCTATCTGAAAGATGAATAAGGGTAATGCTTTTCACCTACTAACAATACTGGTGAAGGTGATAGCAGTAGTAAAGGTAACGGAGACACTGATTATATTTAATATTAGCAGTGACAATGGAAATGTTTCATTCATATTACATTTTTTTATCACCATGTGTAGGTATTGAATATCTTCAAAATTTCTACCATTTCAGAAAACTTGGTTTAGTGAAGACTGGGTCTTGGCGAGTGTCTTTGATATGTTAAGGGAATTGAGGACAAATGATGGTGTAATACCGGAGTTGAAAGATGAGTATGAATATGACATAGTGCTCCGTGAGAAGTTGGTGAAGTCATGGGGGTTAGCCCAGGAAGCCTTAAAAGGTGCCGCAGGAAAATACAAGAAGTATTAGGATATGAATGCTAGAAACAGGAAATTTAATAACGGAGATCAGGGTTTATCTTGCTTCCCACTGATCAGAACAAGTTGTTGCTGAAATGGAAGGGTCCATTCCCTGTGCTGGCGTAAAGTATGACTATGACTACATTGTCAGTGGTGTTCTTAAGAAATATCACATTAATCTTCTCAACAAATAATTTCTCAGGCAGAAGGTTAACTTGTCAGTGGCTGGCTGCTTTGATTTGTGTATAGAGAGTAGGAAGGTGTGTCAAGATTCTGCAGAAGATGCCGAGGATCAGTTTATATTGAAGGTAAATGTGGGTGCTGGGCTTATGCAGTAACATTCAGGAGAAGAATTCCTGATTGCTTATGCGAGTAACAAGTCATTACCATGGGAAGAAAATTACACAATAGAAAAAAGTGCTTAGCAATAGTACGAGCAATCAAAAAGTTAAAATATTATTTGTATTAAATTGAAGTACACACAGACCACAAACCATTCTTCTATATTCAAGCGAAGAGGTTTGACAATAAGAGAATCATGAGATGGAGCATGATGCTCCAAGATTACAGGTTTCGGCTTGTATCGGTGAAGGTTCAGTATAATGTTACAGCAGATTATATGAGCAGAATGTAAAATGCACTATACTCATGGATTTCTTTTGTCTGTCTACCATTGTAAATTATTGGATGTGTATCACGGTTTAATAACATATTTTGTTAATGTCATTTGTTGAATACATATTGCATTTACCAGGATTATGTAATGTTGAGATTTATTTTATATTGATCTTCCCAGCCACAAATGTATACCCATCAAACTTTCTATGATAGCACATACAAAATTATTATCCTGAGCATATGTTTTGTAGAAATTCATGAAATCCACTACACAAGTTTGATATGAAGAAGAAAATATTACAGCAATATATACGCATTGTAGTTTATGCAAGTGCAGGAATATTACTCACTACATTTTGAACAGAAAAAACAGAAAGAGATGATAATTAGACAGCCACCTTATGTCTCTAAATATATCAGAGAGGGCTTAATGATGCTGAACACAATGGGTTGTGCTCTTTAATGCTGGATAATTGTTTAATTTTGAGTCAAAGACATTGTCTTCAGGTGATGATGTGAACATTTGATAATCTCTACTTTGTATTAACAGGTTTATACAAACTATATGGACATTGACGTATAGCCATGTTATAGGTTTTCAACTTTGTGCAGAATATGTCATACATATTTATACATGGATTGTTTTTATGCTAATTATCCCACAGCATGATATTGTTGTGCTATGTTGGCATTGTTTTTTAGCAAAGGTTTTATTCAAAGGTGTTTGTAGACTTATAACCATGCTCAACCTTTTTCATGATATTAACGTTCTGAAGTACGGGTGCTATATAATATCATTTAAAACAAAAAATCAGATTATTGGAAACACGTTTTAGTAATTGCATTTAGAATTGCGTTTAGAATTGCATGTGCAGATTTCAACTCAAATACAAGAGAAATGTAATGTATCTAAGTCTCATGACTTGATAAAAGTAAGAATGTCATATTATTTATTGTACATTATAAAACTTGGTTGATTAAACCATAGGTTGAGAACTGAGATTTCTGGATATACAACTATATGTATATTGACTAGGATTGGTATTTAGTGATATGAGCTATGTTGTGTCATGATCTTCTGATATCATGTAATGGTTGATAAGATGAAGAATGTTATGTTTGACTTTAAAGGTTTACCTTGATAAAGCTTAAATGATAATTTATGTGCAGTAAAAATTGAAACAGTTTGTTCCAAACATTTTCATGAGATATGTAGTAATTGAGTGATTTGTGTATGTCGTACTGTTTTATAAGTATTTATCTAGGAATGTGAGAAGGAAGCTCAGTACCTAGGAATTATTTTTGAAAAAAATATTTTGTTTATGGTAAAAGTTGTCATGATGACTTTCAATAAGATGATGACTTTAAATAGGAAGAATAGATTTTATTGACAAAAATTAAGGAACATCCAAAGACATAAAAGAGGGAGAACGAGAGCCAGAGGCTGAAAATGGGGAGGG